CCCCGTTGTGTCGACCAACACTTGGTGGTTCGGCGGCTAAGAGGTGTTTCACAAACCTCGTCCACACGATAGGACACCGCAAGAACCGACCCACAAGTGAGGTAACTCAATGACACGAGCAATTTACTAGAGTTACCTTTCGGCACTCCGCCGGGGAAGGTACAACTCCCCTTACAATCACCGGAGATGGCCACGAACAATCACCAACTCGTGCCAATCCTCCACCGCTGCTCCAACCGTCTAGGTGGTGGCAACCACCAAGAGAAACAAGCGAAATCCGCAGCGCAACACGAATACCAAGTGCCTCTAGATGCAATCACTCAAGCAATACACTTGGATTCTCTCCCAATCTCACAATGATAATGGATCAATGATGGAGATGAGTGGGAGGGCTTTGGCTAAGCTCACAAGGTTGCTATGTCAATGAAAATGTGCAAGAGTTTGCCCTTGAGCCGGCCATGGGGCTATAAATAGAGCCCCAATCAAATAGAGCCGTTATACCCCTTCACTGGGCAAAACGCGCACTGACCGGACGCTCCGGTCATACTGATCGGACGCTGGCCCTCAGCGTCCGGTCGCCCAATGGACGCCACGCGTCACCAGCTTCAAACGCCGTTCGTCAGATTTCAACGGCTACGAAGCTGACCGGACGCTCCGGCAAAACTGACCGGACGCTGAAGCCCCAGCGTCCGGTCGTTTCCAGTAAGCTCCCCGAGGCGTATTTCTTCGACCGGACGCATCCGGTCCACCTTGACCGGACACAGACCAGCGTCCGGTGCTCAACCTTAGCCACTGTGCCGTCTGACAGCACGATCGGACGTAGCCTTTCAGCGTCCGGTCGCTGAGTGACCCAGCGTCCGGTCAGTAGACCGACGCCAGCATCATTTCGACTAACTCCATTTCAACTCTAACTTCTTCACCCTTGCTCAAATGTGCCAACCACCAAGAATTTGCATCCGGTGCAATAGAAAATAGGCATTCCATTTTCCTAAAAGCGCCACCTCCTTTGTAAATGTGCCAACACCACCAAGTGTATCACCTTGTGCACAAGTGTTAGCATATTTTCATAAAACATTTTTAAAGGTGTTAGCACTCCACTAGATCCTAAATGCATATGCAATGAGTTAGAGCATCTAGCGGCACTTTGATAACCGCACTCCGATACGAGTTTCACCCCTCTTAATAGTACGGCTATCAATCCTAAATGTGATCACACTCTCTAAGTGTCTTGATCACCAAAACAAAATAGCTCCTATGGTTTATACCTTTGCCTTGAGCTTTTTGTTTTTCTCTTTCTTCTTTCCAAGTCCAAGCACTTGATCATCATCATGGTATCATCATCATCATGCTATGATCTTCATTTGCTTCATCACTTGGAGTATGCTACCTATCTCATGATCACTTGATAAACTAGGTTAGCACTTAGGGTTTCATCAATTCACCAAAACCAAACTAGAGCTTTCAACGATTCGGGCCCTGAACCGCCTGGGGGCTCGGGAACTAAGCATCGCACGTGCAGCGAAATGCATCACAACGCTCCGTGTTACGTCATGAAGCGGCGATTGCCTCATTCGACATGAGCAAACCAATAGAGCCAGGGGAGAAAATCGCAGATGAGCCCCGTGCGGCCCTTGCCCGGTCTGGCAAACCGGGTCATCTCAACCTTCTCGTTCGATCCTGAACCTCTCACCAAGCCCACAGAATCTCCATCGAGGGGAGACTGTTAGGCCACCCGGGTCGGTCTCCAGAACGACCCAGGCATCTGCCGGGTTACAGGTAAAGGAGCAGTGGAATGTCACAAGAGGGCTATTACGACCCCGTCACGAACGACGGACCGAGATTCCGCTCGACCATACCCGTTAGTGAACTCACCGAGCGCGTCACTCGAGCTCGAGCGATCGGGACATGCGACAAAACTCAGCCCCTCCGGTTGTGAGGAACCGAGGATGGGGTAACGCACACAACTCACACCGACCCCTACTAAGGCCCAGCAAGGCTCGGGGGCTCAAGACACAAAAAAGCATGGGTCTACGACCCCAATCTCGCCCCATTCGGCTACGCTTTCGACTGCGCTCCAAACACCTGGGTCTGCGACCCCGATCTCACCCCATCCGGCTACGCTTCCGACTGCGCTCCAAAACACCTAGGTCTGCGACTCTGATCTCGCCCCATCCAGCTACGCTCCGGCTGCGCTCCAAAACACCTGGGTCTGCGACCCCGATCTCGCCCCATCCGGCTACGCTCCGACTACGCTCCAAAGCACCTGGGTCCGCGACCCCGATCTCGCCCCACGACTCCAACTCACCCGATCCCGCGGCGCGCATCGACGCCAGGATCAGTGAGCTCTGTCTCGACCAAACTAACTTCCTCACCCGATCCCACGGCGCACATCGATGCTAGGATCAGTGAGCTCTGTCTCGTCCAAACTAACTTCCTCACCCGATCCCATGACGCGCACCGACGCCAGGATCAGTGAGTTTTGTCTCAAATCTCTCAACCAACTAAACACATCGGCTGCACAACGACGCCTTGGTTAAACAAACTCCGTCCCAACTAAAAACGTCCACACGCGCGCTATCAAACACCCCGATGCGGTTACGCACGAACCGCCTCGGGGAACTACACACAGAGTGCGCTTCGCGCACTTACCCGCCAAACAAACGAAACCTCCCCACTAACAACACGAAACCCCCAGACGGTTCTCGCCTCAACCGCCGGGGCTCGGGAAACTACACCCGTGCGCTGCGCTCGCGTGCACCCGCCATCAAAATAAAATCCCTCGGGCGATTCTCGCCTGAATCGCCTGGGGCTCGAAACTCTGTTGGGTCCATAAACTCAGGGTCCCTCGGGGACCGGCTTCCACGCCAAGGCTCGGCCCAAGAAGACAGCACACAACTCATGGGCCGGCCCAAGAATCTAAAACAACAGGTCGAAACGGCGGTTCAGTCACCGACCGGAAGGTCTGGCCGAAGAGGAACAGCGCCCGCTCGTCGACTACTTCGGCCCACCTCTCTGACCGGAGCGCTCGCTTCGGACTCCAGCCGCCTCCGGACGGCCTCTCCGATCGGAAGGCCTGGCCCAAAGCGCTACTTCAGACTCCGATCCCGCGTCTCCGACCGGGGTTCGCAGAAACCCTGATCACCGCTCTTCTCCGACTAGTGCGACCGGGGGGGCAAACGGAGAAAGCAAGCCAAGACGCACAAGTCAAACCATGGTACCAGGGACCATACCCTGTATGCCTGCAGGAACAGTATTTTGCAACCGCCCTAACACAAACAGTATTGTAGGCGCCGACATTTTCCTCTACAGTATTGTGGGCGCCGTTAACTCCCATACGGTAAGGCCCCCCACATGCCTCTGGGCATCGATAGTGTTGTGGGCGCCGGGATTTACCATACCAGGTGAACTTGGTGAAACTCCTCACATGCCTCTTGGTATCAACAATATTTGCTGGTACCGACATCTGCCATTTCTGAAGAAGGCAACGCAACCTCCCATGTGCATCTGACATTCTACAGTAACATCAACAGTGTTGTAGGCGCCTACCATTATCTTGTACTTGCCGGCGTGGGCAACAGAGCCCAATAGCATACGTACCCTCACCCTCTCACTTATAAAGTCATCCATTTTATCTATAAAAGGGGATGCGCTCCCTCCAGCAGAGGAGAGCCTTTTTAGTCCTTTTTAGTTAACCAACATCGATCAAGTTCACTAGCTCACAACAACAGAACCGCCGGGTTCGAATCCCAAGCACACGCTTGAACACTTAGCTCATAGCGGAGCTCCTGTCGCTCTCGGCCCTTCCGACCGGAGCCGACCGGACCTCTTGTACACCCCCATCTTTCTTCTTCTCGTTTGTAACCCCGCTGCAGACTTCGAGCACCTGGACTCAGGAATAAAGTCACCGACCGACTCAAATTGGACATAGGGCACGTTGCCTGAACCAGTATAAACCCTGTGTCATTGAGTGCTAGGCCACCTCCGATCATAACATACAGTAAAACTATAAATATTTACTAGTTGATCACATTCTACACCGACACAACCAGTAACGGATTCTTTGTTTGCAGGGAGCAGGAAACGAAAGGTGTGGATGCCATGCCACTGGAGGTACCCAGACGTGGGATGGATCAAGGTGAACGTTGATGGAGCCTTCAACAACAAGACGAGCGAAGGTGGCCTTGGTGTTGTGATTAGAGATGCTGCTGGAATTTGGAAAGGCCTTGCTTACGTCTTGGTGCTTCGTGAGGAATGCTGGGGACGCTTAAGAAGAGGAAACTATGGCAGCTAGAGAAGGTGTATGACTTGCTGCTGAATGGAGTGTGGGCTTCCAGCAGTGATTGAGGGTGACTGCAGTACTGTTTGCGAGATGCTTCAATGCCAAGGGGGAGAATGATCTAAGATAACTTTTGCTTTATTGTTTATGAAGCAATCCAGGCAAGTAGTACGCTAGCTGAGTGTTAAGTGTTCGACACGAGAAGAGAGGGTAATTGTGCTGCTCACGAGCTCGCGCAACTGGCTTTGAGAGCGAAACACTCGTTGTTTGGTGGTTCTCAGTGCTGCCTTGTATTGAGCATATTTTTGCTCGGGACTGTAATCACAGTGCTGAGCAATAAAAAGGCCTCTCTTTTCCTCGAAAAAATGGACTCTGAATATAGGTCACAAGTTTATCATGGCCGTGTTTAGATTGTAAGTTTTTTCACTCTCTCTTTATCACATCAAATCTTTAGACACATGCATATAGTATTAAATGTAGATAAAAAAAATAACTAATTATATAGTTTGATTGTAAATTACGAGACGAATCTTTTGAGCCTAGTTAGGCCATAATTGGACAATAATTGTCAAATACAAACGAAAGTGCTACAGTGCCAAATACTGATTCCTAACCCCAATCTAAACGAGGCCCATGCCCAGAAAACTAAATCTCTTCCACCTTTCTCTCCCTCAAAGACCCTCAAAGACAGTTGTTTGGACTAATATAAACAAGCCTTTGACTTTCACCCTGACCCCGAAATGTAACCACGCAAAACTGGGTGGCCTTGCGTCTCCACGATTAATAATCCTAAAAAAATGACAATTTCTTCACGTATGCCCCCGAGAACAAATCTATGGAACACAAATAGCATCACCGCCACACAAGAGAGCGGAGCAGTCTCAAACCCAGTACAATAGCGCTTGGCAGGAAGAGGGGCGTACCCGGGCGAGTGGGCGGGCGGAGCGCGACCAGGCGGGAGACGGCAGCGTCGGGGAGGCGCGTGACGGTGCCGCGGAGATGCTCGAGGGTACGGCGGTCCAGATCGGCTACCTCACTCTCCAGCTCCTCCGCCTCGTCCTCAGCGGCTGCGGCGGGGGCCGGAGCCTTGCGCTTGCGCTGGTTGGGCGCGGCTCCAGTTTCGCCTGCCGGGAGCGAACCTTCAGCCATGGTGGATTTTGTGAGGTAGAGGCACGCCGGAAATCATGCCGTCCAAACGTTCGGAGAGGACCATGCGCCGAAGGACGAGCGCGGGAACCGCCGTATGACGGGCCATACACACAGAGCGGCAGAGGGATGCCCGATGCTTATCCGCTGGGTAGATTCCCGTTCTTTTTTTATGTTTATTTCGTGGCTTCATTTGTGGTATTTTATTCTTGTCTTCTTTTTTATATTCATTTATTTTTTTTACTTTACTCTAATTAATCGTTTCCTGTATTTTTTTCTTCTATTTCTTTTTTTTCCTTCCTTCCGTTTCTTTATTTAATTTTCTATGTGAACTTTTTTTTGTTTCAAGTTTTTTTATATGTTATATGAGATACAAGGTAAGTTCGATAGTACACATGTGTCAATTTTCTTTTTTTTCTTACTTAAACTATTCATTCATTTTATTTTTCTATAGTTTTACATTTATTGTTTATTTTATTTGCATTTATTATTATTATTATTTTACTCTAATCTAATTAATTAATTTGGTAATTTTAATTTTTTACCTATTTACACTATTTTACGAGATACATTAATGTTCCATGATATATTATGTGATGTTCATGTAGTACATATGATGTTCTATGATGTATTCTCTGATGTTTATATAATATACATGTGATGTTCTATAATGTATTATGTGATGTTTTTATGATGTATATTGTATGTTCACGTAGTGTACGTGTGATGTTCTGTGATGTATCATGTGATGTTCTTTGATGTATTATGTAGTATATATATGGTGTTCTATGGTATTTTTTTGTGTTGTTCACGTGGTATAACATGATAGTTTATGATGTTTTTTTGTGATGTTTATGTACTATACATGTGATGTTCTATCATGTTTTTTATGATGTTCATGTGGTATATATGTGATGTTCTGTGATATTTTTTGTGATGTTCACGTAATATACATGTGGTGTTCACGTAGTATACATACAATGTTCTATGACATATTCAGTGATTTCACGTAGTATATATACGATGTTCTATGATATATTCAGTGATTTCACGTAGTATATATGTGATGTTCTGTAATGTATTTTGTAATGTTCATGTAGTATATATGTGGAGTTCTATATATTTTTGTGATGTTCACGTGCTATACATGTGATGCTCTACGTATTTTAGGATGTTCATATATTATAAATGCATGTTCATGATTTTCTTTAAGTTCCCGTGAGATATTCTATGTTATATTTTAGATTGTTTAAGTAATATCCATGTGATGATATTTTTTTAATTTACCTCTATTACGTGGTTTTTTCTTTTCCCTTGTGATTTGTCCTATGCTTTTGTTTTGTTATTTTTTTTCATGTGATACTTTTGTCCGGGTTACATCATGTGATGCTTTTGTCCGGGTTACATCACGTACCAAATAGTTATGGTATTTTAATTTGTTTCCTTTTTCTTTATCTAAATTTTACTATTTTTATTTATGTTATAGTATTTATTTATTTACTGTTTCTATATATTTATAGTTTTTTGTTATTATTTTTTCATGGATCTTATAGTACCATGAACCTATAACTAGAATATTGTTATTTTAAATCGAGAATATTTTTCTTATGAAGGCAGAACATTGTTTTTCTAAACTTAGAATATTGTTTCTACTCAATAAAAATATGTTCTATCTTCACAATATAAATGTTCTTTATAAAATTTTATCTAAATGTATACATGTGGGATCTTGTTATGAATGATTTATTGTAAGAAACACGACGGTGTAATCATACTTTAATCTGTATGTTTGATTTGACAGTTATGATTTTTTAAAACTTAGCAAATGGTTATAGAGTAAGCTATTCTCAACGTACTTTTCTTTTCAGCAGCGTGTATGCATGTGGAGGAGGGACTTCCAATAAAACAACAGTATCATTAAATTACTATTTTTTATGAACGTGGGGTGTGCCATGCCCAGCTGAGAGCGATGCGGGTCGAGGTGGGCCGTGGGCTAGCCAGACGCGACACATGGAGCGCAGAAAATACATCACTCGCGGGAAACATCGGTGCGTGGATTCCGTCCGAACGGCAAGACTGCAACACCCCCCGAGGCACGCCGCGCAGGGTCCGGAGCCGACGAGGGTAGCTGAGCGGATTCAGTTTCGATGAGTAGGGCAGGGTGCGGCCGTGTGAGCATACCTGGGCCCCGGTTTAGGTGGGCCGCTGAGGGCTCCTTTCGATGAGCAATCCCCGCATGGGGAGAAATGTTTCGGTCCTTCGCGGCTACTAGTGGACAGGGACGCACGTGTCCATTAAAAGGTTTATTCTTGAAAATTTCAAAAAATAATAAAGCATATTCGAAAGAATTCAGATAGTAGTAAAAATATGTATTTGCCGCAGGAGTTGGCTGCTAAATTTATATAATAGATGACAAGAATTTAAGTAAAAATAAATTGTGTATTTACATTCATATCAAAACAGGTCACACCAAGAAAACACATGGAGCTTCAGGGGCAGCGACAAACTGCTTCTTCTGGTTCTGGCCAAGCTCACAGACCTGCTTATGCATAGAAGCTGTTCGATGAAATGCCGCAGCAGACATCGTTCGTGTGGAACACCATAATCTCCAAGCGCACATGTGGCGGCATGGTAACGCAGGAGCTGGCGATCGCCATATCGCATCGCTCAGCAAAGTGCCATCACCGTGAATTTTAGACAAGTATAGTACTACAAGTTCAAAATGACCACCCTGCATGGTCCTAACGCCTGACTGAATTGCACACGGAAACCTCTATTGACGTGTGCTTCACCTCTGTTGCCAATCCATGGTACTCTGAATATATCTGAAACATTATCAAATGAAGGGTACTCTGAATATATCTGAAACATTATCAAATGAAGCTATGTTATACTGAAGGTTTAGGAATATTATTTCTAAGGGACAGAGGGAACGAGATTTGAAGAATACACGATATTCTTCACCAAAACAGGTTCTAAGGGATGAACCACCTCCTGGATGGACTGTATATATTCAGCTCCATGGCCATGGGTATCCCTCGTTAGGACACATTCAAGTATTGATGCCACTGTTTTCGATAAAGCTGGAACAGACAATTCCAAAGTTCAGATTAAAAAATAAGAGCAAGGTCATACTCGCTCCGTCCCTAAAAAACTGGTCAATGTTGGTGTACGTGCCGTAAATTTGACTCAATTTATAAAAAATACGTACAACATTTGTATCTCCAAAAAATTTTATTAAAAAACTAAATTCAAAGATCTTTCCAATGATACTAATTATGTACCATAAATGTTAATATTTTTAATATATATTTAGTCAAAGTTGTTTCTCGTGAAGCGAAAACGACAGATATTTAGTGACTGGGGACTATAACATATAGTTGTTGGATTGGATCGTTGCAAGGGATATAATATCATACAGTCATTTTGGTTTGATAGAAAGTACACAGGGATAGAGGGCATATAAAGAAAGTGAAATCACAGACAGTAACATCACATAGCACATATAGTTATAAATAAAATAACAGTAACTTCAAGGTGAACCGGTAATTTCGCTCCAAAATAAAACTAATATCACAATTGTTGTTGTATATTTTATCATATCGCTACATCAGTGTGTGTACATATTTAATTACTTGTTGCTCCTATATGTCAAAAACATTTGAGCTTATGTCCTCAAGTCCAGTTCGATCTCGATTTTAATCATTTCATTGTCCTGGTTAGCTCGCTGCCGCGCCTGGTTTTCTAGTTCTTCACTTAAACTCATGTGCTCTTGTCTCAAATCAAAATGAAAGGTAAAGATGATTTTATTGCTTAAACATAAATGGTGGAAACAATAAATTTGACTTAAGCAAATACTTTTTAGTAACAATGGCGCCAGACTCAACTCAGCCGGATAATTACGTTGATACTCAAAGTTTTCTAGCAAGGATCTCCTCTCTTTTTTTATATCACAAGACGTCCTCCCTGGCCATGTGCCTTTCACAAGTGTCTTGATCTAAAGGCTCAGAACACGAACCTTGATAGCGCCGATGTACTCAAAGACAGCAGCCCGCACGCTCACGTTGGTTGCCCACGCGCAGCGACTGCCGGTCGATGAACATGGACCACTCCCCCTTCTCACCGCGCGGCCCGGTGGCCGTGCGCCCCACCACGGCCTCCCCTCGCCTGGTGGCGGCCCTGTGCGGCCTCGCATGGCAGCTGCGGTGGCCCGCGTGTCCCTAGGTTCGCGTGATGTGGCCGTGGCGTAGAGCCCCTCGACGGAGGCGCCGAGGCGGCATCGGTGGGGGCGCGGAAGGAGAGACGCCGCTGCTGCCGTCGGCGGAGCGTTGGTGGTTGTCGCCTTCTTGTCCTCGTGGATCTTGGCCGCGGCCGGGGATGGGGCGGCCACTGGCGGGGACCCGACGCCGAGGCGGCCGACACGATGCGCTCCATCCCCGTCGGCGGGCGCAGCGGTGGCACCCCTCCCGGGAGCATGGGCCGCTTCTCCAGCCGGCGGCGGTTGGGCGCTGGCGTGAAGGAGAAGGCCCTGGCCTAGGGCCTCAGCGGTGGTGGCGCAGGGTGGATGGTGATGGATGTGCAGCTGTGCACTAGGGGTTATAGGGTAGGTCGGGTAGGACAAGGCCTTACTTAGATTGCAAGCGGGTTTTTCAGAGGGCTCTTCATGCATCAAATCTTTGAAAACATGGCCGGAAGTATTAAATGTTCAATAAAAAAAATAACTAATTACACAGTTTGATTGTAAATTTTGAGACGAATCTTTTTTTGTTTTAGTTAGAAATAGCCATGATTGGACAATAATTGTCAAATTCAAAATGAAAGTCTCGCTTTCCAATCAAACCGTAAATACTAATTCATTTGCCATATATCTAAACAAGGCCCAACGCGTGTCTAGGAGCGATTCGGGTGATGAGAGCGCTATGCTATTTGTGGGTGATTTTGAAATGAACGTTTAATACTTTGGCAAGAACGCGCAAAAGTAAATATTGGTGATGTAAGATGAT